GGTCCCCCCCTTTTCCTTCCCCTCCCAGCCCCCCCCTGCTTTAAGCACTGGTCCAGGCTGTGCTCTGCCACCCCGGGGTGGGGGGTTCACCCCATTACCCCAAACTCCCAGGTCGCCTCGTATAGGAGGGAAACTGGGATCCAGTGAACCTACTGGTGGGTGCTCCTCCAGCCTGTCTGGGCTCCTGAGTGGGCTTTGCAGGGGCCACACAGGGCAGGGAACGGGACTGGGCACAGCGCAGAGGGGCTGCAACGTCCCCAGTCGGTCCCCACTGCCTGTCGCTGGGATACTGGGAGACGGAGGGCCGGTCTGATGCTTTGCGGCCTTATTTCTTGCTGCTGCATTTTACGGAGCGCTGCCCCATCCTGCAAAAGCCACCCCAGCCCGGCTGGGATGGAAGCACCACCGTCACGCAACGATATTCCCTGTTTGGTGCTTCTGAGGGCAGGAAAAGTCACCCCCGAGAAGAGTTCCCCCACCTAGGACGAAGGATCTCCGGGAAGGTGATGGGACCAAAAATTCCCCAGCCAGAGCACCCCCCTCCCCTTGCCCAGTTCATCCCCGCGACTTGCCCCGAGGAATATATTTAGTCACTCGATTCCTTTATGATTCTGACCCCCTGACATGGGCTTGCAGGGCTTTGACGGATGGTGGATTTCCTCTCCGCCCTGCCAGAAAGCGGGAGATGGGAAGGCATTTCCTCGGCCACTGCCCCATCTAACCCATGAACGGAGTGTGTGTGTGTGTGTTGGGGGGGGGAAATAAGCCAGCGCGGATCCCAAGCCGGGGGGTGTTTGTGCAGGTCGGCAGTGATTTCCCACGTGCCTGGGTGTTCCTATTGACTCTTGTCAGATTACGAGTGATGGAGAGCTGCGGGTATGTAAATGTAAGCCGGGAGGGTGCAGGATCCGCCTGGGTTTCCTGGTCTCTCCCCCCACCCCGCTTCCCACAGGAGCCGCATCCCCACGATTCTGGTTTCTCGTGGGTTACGGTGATTTGGGGGTCCGGAGAGGTGGAAGGTGGAACTTCGCTTGCAGCAGGAGCAGCAGCTGCCCGCGCTGAGCTTTTCCCCGGGACCGAATTAAAAACCTGCGGAAGCGACAACATTTTCCAAAGGAACTGATTAAATCTATTAAGCTATTTACAAGCGGGCTCCATCAGAGCTGCGTTATCTGGGAATACAACAGGAAGGCAACTTCTCTTAAATCTAAAAGGCGCAGGAGATTTCCTGGTCTCGGGACAGATTTATAAACCCTTTCCACACGCAGACACGCAGGCCGGCACATAGCCGCTGCCTTTCATCTGTGTTTTGGACACGGCTCGCGCCGTCCCGGGCTCCGCACAAGCGGGCTCCGCTTCTCTCCCCCAATCCCATCCCATCGCGCCTTGAAGCGTCAGGATGAAGGCAGGGAAGGGAGGATGCCAAACCCTCCGTCCTGCCCCAAACGGGTCCCCTGGGGGTATTTTGATGATGGGGGTGGGGAGAGTTGCTGCAGAGGTTGGAAAAAAAAAAACCAACATTTTTTTTTTTATTATTATTTCCCTTTAGTAGGGGTTGACGTGCACTGAAGAAAACCCCCCAAACTTACCCAAAGTTGCAAGGTTTTATTTTGAATACGGCGGTGTTATTTTTTAACCCCCGGGATGCACAGCGCCTGGATATCATCATTATTTGTATAATAATCATCATTATTTTTATAATAATCACCAACATGTTTATAATAATCATTATTTTTATAACAATCACCAACATTTTTATAATAAGCATCAACATTTTTATAATAATCATCATCATTTTTACAATAATCAACATTTTTATAACAATCACCATCATTTTTATAATAACGATGATATTTATACTCCAGGGCCTCTATCCTCAAGGCCTGACATTTTTTTTTAGTGGTAGTAGGACAATATATCCCCCCTCAAGGGAAAAGGAACAGATGAATTCTTCTCGAGCCCTTTTACAGGAGGGGCGGCAGTGCCTCCATCCCGCACCGCCTTCCCGAGGATGGGGAGGAAAGCTCTGGGGGGAGGATAAGGCGCTGAGCAGGGACGGGACACGCGTTCGACCTTCTGCCTCTGCCGCTGATGTCCGGAGGCTCTCGGAGCCGCTTGACGGGTTCTCCCGGTCCTCGCTCTTCCCTCCGCGCCGTGGGGGGTAACACGGGTTGATCTCCCCCAGGTACGGCAGGGGGAAACTCGTGCGGCTTTTCAGAACTTTGCCCCGCTCCCCCCCGGAGACGCGCATTGGGATTCCCGTGCGGTTGCAGGACAAAAATACTGCAAAATAGTTCTCATTTGGATTTTTCTCCCACGCTGGAAGACAGCACCTTCTTAGCCCCCCCCCCCCAATAATAATAATAATTATTAATAATAATAACAACAACAATAACAACAACAACAATAATAACAATAATAATAATAATAACAATGACGACGACGATGATGAAGAAAACCACTTTTTTCCCCTTCTCCCCCTCTCCTTTAGCACCCGGCATTCTGATGGCATTAGTAAGACGGGTTTCATTCTGCACCCGACCTCAAATGCTGGTTAAACCTGTCCTGGAGGAAGCTCCGCATTACATAAAGGCGGCTGGGGCCATGTGAAAATGCCACCTTTTTAATTGCGACCGTATCAGGGTAATTAGCAGCAGTTGGGGGCGGGGGGGGGGAACCAACAATCCTCCTCTTTACTTTTTTTCTTACCTTCCTGATTGTGGCAGAACGCGTACCTGTATCTGGGGCACAGGAAGAAGCAAGAGCTCTCCCAGGGCTTTGAGAGCGGGGAAATTACGGCTAAAAGCTACAAGCTAAAATAGACCGAGCAGACAAAGGGTGGAAGAAACCTTTGTTCTCCCCATTTTCACGGACGGGGAACAGCGGCAGCGACTCCCATGGGGTCAGGCAGAAAATCCCTGACCGAACCCGGCTTTCGCGCCGCAGAGAGGCGAGACCATCCCGGCTCTTTTTAAAAACATCCCCTTTTTTGGCCTGGATCCGACATCTGGCATTCTACTCGGCTTGCAAACGGCAGGTCTATTTTCATTCCTCTCCCCGACTCCAGCTTCAGAGACATTAAAATGGGTGAGAAAGTGCAAATCCTAAATTAGCTCAATATTCGCCTGTTCCTTAATTATTGATGAAGCTCTCGTCTCCCGAGGGCGGTTTTTGCCGAGGCAGCTGGGGGGTTCCCAGCAGCAGAGCCGCCTCTTGGCAGCGCGGCTCCCACCCAACCCTGCCCCGTCGCCCGTCCTCCCCGGGTCCACCAGGCTTTCCCCAGGGATCGCTACTGGGACCAGTTATATATCCTAGGAGGAGAAACCGGAGCTTTCCCCTTATACAGCCCGCAGCGAAAAACGTAGACCAAAAAACCAAAGAAACAAACAAAGTTGCTAAAATTTTCAGCACACGCCCTCTCATGGCGTTGAACGCTTCCGCTCCATTTTTAAAATGCAGCTTTAACAGTTAAAAAAGAAATATATTATGGTCCCTTTAGGTTAAAATATTAAATAGTCCCTTTAGGTTAAAAGGAACTAGCAAAATTTCCCTCTTACGCTTTAAAATGGATAAAAATAAAAGAAAAAAAAATCTTTGAGTGACTCAGAAGCAGAGTTTTAAGTCCCGACTTGTTGCGAAAGAGAGCTTCAATTTGGCATTGGAACCATCCTCCCACTTCTGCCACCGCAAAAGTGTTTGATTTTTTACCATTTTCACCAGTCCCCACATCACTAAAAATTTGCTCATCCAAAGTTTGCTTATCCCGGCTTGGGATATGTCCGGTGCCGTGGTTATTGTCCGAGTACTCCGTGAGCTCCGATCCTTGTCCAGGAACACTGGGTGGATGAGATTTATTAAACCCTTCGCGTAGCAAAGCCCGTACTGCCCAGGAACGAGGAGGAATGAAGCAAAGGACTGCCTCAAATGTCAGCACTGTTCACGCTGTTTGAGGACGCGCTATTCGAAGATCTTTTTTAAGACAGGCGTGATGCCTATGCAGCGTTTCCAATAGACTTTGTGTGGTTTTCCTCTCTTCTTGGAGCTTCCTTCCTCCTCTTAACGCTGGCAGGTTGGGAGGTTTCGTGATGTAAATTATGCCTTTTGAAGGGGGATGCTTCAAGAACGTCAGTCTTGGGTGTTTAAACAGGAGAAAATTGGTTAATTACATCAGTGCATTCAGCTAATTTTCTTTGCCTTTGGCAAAGGACTACCTTTGGCTTAAAGGAAAACTGCATGAATTGAACGTGACACTGAACTGGATGGGTCCCCAAGTGCATGTCTTAAGTTTCCCAAAGCAGCTGCGTCTTGGATACTACTTAAAGGACTGAATTTCACATGAACGTAAGGATAGAGGGTTCGGGAATCTTAACGGGTCATCTTGAAACTTGTACTTAATGGTATCACGCATCTATACCTTGAAATAACCCTGGTTGTTACTTCTTCTGCTTTATGTTGCTTGTGTGTAAAGCACTGGAGGTAGTACCTCTTGGAAAGGAATCCAAGGAATGGTGCCTGTTCCACACAGCTGGGTTGTCACGTCCCATCCTTGGCTCGAAGGAGGGTTCTGCGGAGTCAGACAGAGCAAGACGAAACCAGTTGAAGCCCATAAAGCTCATGCAGATGTTGGTCCGATGCCGGTCACAGACTGCTCTTCCATGGCATCTACTTTCCAGGATGCAGTTTGGTGCTTGCAGGTAATGACAAGCACAGAAATCAGCGTATACATCGCCGTGCACAAACCCGCAATCGCAAATCCCATCACGTGGTGCGTAGCAGCCTTTGCACCGACACACAATTTCGAGGCTCAAAGCGAAGAACACCACTGTACCTGCGAAGAACGGAAACAACTCCCGAGAAACCATCACCTGCGTAAGGCTCCCAGCGCGAAAAGGAAAATTTTCATCTATGTCACTGGTGACCCGGGATGACCAGAACTGAAAACATTTTGACATCTATGCTGGGTGTGCATCGTTCGCGATTTGGAAGTAAAAGCAGAGTGGCGACTCTCATTTTGCTTAGTTTCTGGGTAATTTCACTTGGAGGTATGTAATTTGCTACTGCAATATGCGAGTACAATGGACAAGTATATAACAAAAGACCCTGCTGTTTAAAAGTCTTCTTTTCACTGAAATGAAACCAAGTCATTTCTTTGTGCTTACATTCTGCTCATTTCACCATTTGGGTAATGACGTAATTCTTTTTCTTCTGCTTTCGAAAAAAAGACTTTCTTGCCAAACCAGAGTTTGGTTAAAACCAGACTCACAACCCGCTATAAACAAACAAACAAAAAAATAAAATTAAATGATTTATTACTTTGAAACATGTTCCTTTTGTTTCGATCCTGCGTTTCACTAGACAGTATCGGGTAAGAAATGCTCTTTGTCGAGTGGCGCAAAGTTGGCCGACCGCTAACACACTAACACAGAGCAGCGAAGTGCATTGCTTGGTTTAAATATTAAGCTATTATGA